TGAACTTCCTATGCTCTTTTGATCAAGTGTCCTTATAATGAAGAGTATAAAACCCAAATCTCCTATTTATTCAGAGACTACAATCTTCCTACTGCTACTAAGCTTGGCCAGTAATATCCAAACACTCATTTTAATTTATGATTTTAACTTATATGAAGTTTTAGCATTGAGTTAAAAAGATTCCAGAACAAGGTGGATCAAATGTTAAAAACAAACAGAAAAACAAATAAGCCTCAGGCTATTCAAGTAAAGGCAAAGCAGCAATGCAGTGTTTACACTGATCAGAATTTCTTTGCACACATCAGTCCTACAAAGGAAAAACCTTAATCTTTAGGTCAAGGGGCAAATATACTCTATTAAAAATATAATGAGAAAATCATGTTGGCCAGCAAAGAGACTTTTTTGTCTTGTTAGAGAACTTCAGCCCACATGTGACTTTGCATATATTGTAGTAATAGCATGCATGGACATAGCAGGAAGATTGATTTACCAGTAGAAACCATTAGGTGGATTCAGGTTGGATATGAGATCTCTGAAAACGACAAGACTCATTAGAGCCTCCAGTTCAAAATCAACTCATCGAGACCACCCTCTTACCACTCCGATCTTTCTTCTAGTTTGGTTAGGGATAGAGGACATCATCAAAGAAGGTTAGATGCAGAGATAAACTGTTTCCAGTTCTCCAGGCTATATAGATAAGAAGTCTCCTGGTCTATTTTGAATTCCTTGGCATCTTTTAGTGTAGTCTCTCCCAATCTCTCCTAGAGGCAGTATCAATGGAGTCTGGGAAATCAAAGCAATTCAAAAATTGGATGACCACAATCATGGCCATCAAATCTTTAAAAGGTCCATTATGGCAAAGCCATTTAATTTAGGAAGGTCCCTCCTAGTAGAGACCGGGCATAAATTAAGTTTTCTATTCATTTGGGATGTAAGGAGAAATGGTGGTTGAAAGAACTAAATCATTTCCCATGGAAGCAGTATATAGTATTGTGTTCTGGGCCAGTTTTAAATATGAATATATAAATAAATGGCCTTCATTATAAAACTAACAAAACAACCAAATAGTCAATACCTATTAATTTTTCTTCTCTCAAAAATAAATCATATCACTGCAGAATTCCCCTTTAGGGATCAAAACTGGGTCTGGACCCAGTAAGGCCAAGTGGTTTGGTCAATCTCTCAAAGACACTGGGACTAGAGTTGTTTTAAAGATACATTCTCCCGTTACTACAACATAAATCAGAAGAAATCAGAAGTTTATATGAGTAGATGCAACCTTAAAAATAATGGCTTAACTCAGCGAGCATACCTACTGGTAAAGAAGCATGTCTACACTGTCCCTATTGATGTCTTCTACTAAAACTAAAACTTGGAGGCAAAATTCACAAAGGTTTATACAATGCCTCATTTAAAAAAAAAAAGATATGGAGGATAATTATATTTATAAAATGAACTGAACCCAAACAAATGAAGAAAATAAAATGAATGCGGAGACAAGATCCCAAATGTATGGGACACAGTCCTGTTCAACAGCTAGGTCCAAGAAAGCATGCTACTTGGTGCAACTTGAGAATGTAGAAGTGAGTATGGGTGCAGCAAGCATTTCCATGGATTTTTCCAACATTAGGAAAATGGCAGCACCTGCTCATGCATCAGGGTTGCTTCTCTAGAACTTTGCACGATACCTTTAAAAATGGGCTTCGCTGTGAAATTTTACACTGACATTCTTTCATAATTCTGAAATATCTTCCAAAAGTAATCCCAGTTATAATTTTGGAATGCAACATGAGAATTAATTTGGGGACAATAGCTGCACCCAACGTTTCCTTCTGTGTATACATGCACCTGCATACACATAAACATAATTCTTCTCCAGAATTAAATTCACTAAGCAAATTTGGGGGGGGGGCACAATATATTGTTCTATACATTACATCTGAAAAAAATGATAATTTCACTAACTAAAATAATAAAGACTACGTTAGAAAGAATGCACCAGGTACTTGTTTTTACTTGGCGCTTAAGTTAAAGATTAAATGTTTTCCCAGTCATCAAGCTTGATGCTGTCGGGAAAGAAGGGGAGAGCCAGATTACATGGAATTCTTTCTAGCTCATGAAAGATAAATATAAATTCCTAGATTCTTCTGTATTGGCTCAATAAAAATATAAGGTACTCGGGCCAGCTGGAAGCTCCTAATTTAAATTCCATTTTATGCTTTGATCTAGAACAGTGTGTCTTCACCAAGTTCCTACAATGCTGGGAAAATAGCATGGAGAAAAACAAGTGTCTCCTCAAGAGCAGTCATTGGAGGCAGGGGTTTGAGAAGACGAAGAGAAGGCGTATCTTCCACCTGCTCTGCCAGAGACTTGCTGCCCTCACATGGGCAGCGAGTCCCCCACCAGCCTTGCACAACTTGGCTTTGGTCCCCAACTCCTTCCTATTGATGAAAGCTGGAATTCTTCCGAACCTAGGTACCTCACCTCGTATTCCAAACGGATTGCGTCCGAGGAGATGGTACCGAAACTCATCTGAATTTTATTCATTTTGAACCAGCCTACGGGATATACATTTTGGACGGCAATCTCCCTCTCCTGCCCTAATCCAGTAGCTCTAGCCCCAACCCCACCCCCTGCCCCAGCCCCAGCCCGAGCCCCAGCCCCAGCCCCTGCCCTGAACCGGTTGGGCGCCCCCTGGTGGCCGGATGGGCCGCAAGCGCAGCGGCGCCTACGTTCACCCGGAGGCTCAAAGGACTTAGGCGTCGGGCGAAGGGCCCGGGCTGGGGAGACCCCGTTGTTCCCTGCCCTTAGCCTCAGGGACCCCGAGGAGCGGCCAGACCTAGCCTTGTCCACCCTTGCCGAGGGGTGAGGTGGGGGAAACGCAGGCCAGTACCCGGAAATAATGCATGCCACTTCCCAGGCCATCTCTCGATCCAAGCCCGGGACGAGTGGGGAGAGCCTTAGAGAAACATGGAGAAGGAGAGCGAGAGCGCAGCGCGGCGGAGAGTGCGCCCGGGATATTCTAGAGAGTTCGGGAGAAGGCAGCGACTGCCGGGGTAGCTACGAACGGATGTGGGCTGGAGAGGGGCCCGGGGAATCAAGCACTACGTTTTCCTAGCATTATTTCAAGAACTCTAACCCCTCAAGGGGGCAGGTGCTATTCGGGAGATTTGACCGTACTTCCCTGTAAAGTAAAAACATTCTGTAAATTATTAGAATCCAGTAATAGGAGTGTCAGGCGGGGGGGGGGGAGTAATTTCCCACCGGTGCTCCCACATGCAAGGACGTTTTTTAGTAAATGAACGGCAATTAGAGCAATGCATATCTCTGTGCGTTTCCTATCTTTATATTTCCTTTTTAAGTGGGAAAATACAGACCTCCTTCAAAATGTACATTAGGATCTTCTTGGGAAACGTTCTAGGATAAAAAAAAAAGGGGGGGAGTCGGAAATGATGACTACTGGTTAAGTAAAGGAAATCTGCAGTGGACGAGCGAGCCCCCTCCCATTTCAGAAGCCCGTCATGTCGACCTTGAGTTATCGTGTATGTGTTATTGAATTAAATAATTTTTAAAAGGCACAGACTGTAGGATTTCCTTCAGCTACTGCGTCAAACAAAACAGAAAGATCTTCATAAAGCCTTCACCTATAGCTAATTCTTCGGGGGGCGGGGGGGATCTAATATTTAAACAAAAACTACAGAGCGACACAATCAAAAGCAAATCTCGGCCAGAGCATAAAGTACTTGAAACCCGAATCTGCATTCCGTTCCTCTCCTACACGGCTCTGAGGTGGGGGAGGCGGTTTGTGCTGGTGCCTGGTGTATAATCGGGTTAATCCAGTAGACAAAGAATAAACCAATAGCCCTCCCACCTCACTTCCCGCTCCCCTTCCCCTCCCCCCCCCGCTCCTCTCCCCGTCGCCCCCTCGAGGGGGCACAGAAAAGGGGAGAGGTGGGCTTGAAATAGATTCCCAATAAACTCTTAAAACCTGCAGCTTGTTTTAAGGCTAACACTGCATGGCCCGGATTCGTTTTAAATGTTCCTTCCTTTTTTTTTTTCCTAATGGCAAGGAGAGAGTTCCATAAGTCAGTCCGAACCTAAAGTTCGTCCTCATGGCCTCTGGGGGAACCTTAAGGTCAGTGTTCCCTTGAAACTAGATAAACTGACCCCGCCGCGCCCAGCCCGGCCCCGCGGGCGCCCCGCGTGACGGCGCCCGGGCTGCAGGGCCGGCCCGGGGACGCGCGGGGCGGCGCGGTTGCCCTTTTGAATGCCTCCTGCGGCTCGGAGCGCTGGCGGGCGCTGAAGTGCGAGTGAATGTAGCCCCGCGGAGCCAATGAGCTGGGACCGGATGCGATATATCCTCTGGGACAACAACTGCTCTGTTCCGCCTCGGATCCACATGACGCCATTTACTGCTGCCGCGGCCGCCGCAGAGCTCCCTGCCTCCTCCGGAAAGGCGAGGGCGCAGGCCAACGGCGAGCCCCCCCGGCCGGGCCCCAGACCCTCCTCCTCCTCCTCCTTCACCTCCTCCTCCGCACCCACCGCCCCCGCCTCGGCCTCGCCGCCGCGCCTCCACAACGCCCAGTCTGCACCGCCGAGAGCCGCGCGGCGCAGCGCGAGCGGAGGAGAGGGGCCGGCGGAGCGCGCAGCGCCCAGGCCCCCGCGCCCGCCCGGCCCGGCCCGCGCCCCCGCGCCCCCTCCGCTCCGACGCGGCCGCGGCCGCACGACTTGGCCATCTGGCCTTAGAGTCTCTGTAAGGCCGTTTTCTTTTTCTCCTTCGCTCATCTGCCAGGAAAGGAGACTCGCCGTTGGCGCTTCGGCCTCCAGTTCATTGAGAAAAAGGAAATACTCCGCGTGCATTTCTAGAAGGGGGGTCGCCCCCAGTCCCGAACCCCGGAGTGCTCATCGGCTGGGGACTTTGGCTCGGGATTTTCCTCGCCCTTTTTCCTCCCGCCGATTGCTCGGAACTTGGACTGAAGGAGAGTTTAGAAAGAAGGGGGAAAAGTTTGCATCGGGGCTGGATTTTATTTGCACATCACAGGAGGAAGAGAATCCAGCGGAGAGAGGTTGGTGCAAAGCCGCGATCACGGTGAGGCACGTTTGGCTCTTACCCTCCTGGCGCCGTGGCCGGCGCGTTGTGGGCAACATGGAGTAGATGCAGTTGGACCGGGAGTGGGGTCTGTCTCTCCTCAGGCCTCCCTTTCTCTAACCAACCCCGCAGGTTCCCAGGGGGGACCCAGAGAGCTGCCTGTGGAACTGGCTCGGCCTGCCTCGGCGGGGGCAGCAGTGCGCGCCCGATACGGGGTCCCCGGCCCCGGGACCCCACGCGCCCGCGTTGGGGTGGCGGACGGCTCGTCGCGAGTCGGCTGCTGGCCCTACAGTGGCCGCGATTTCGGCGCAGAGAGCGGGAGAGGGAGGGGAAAACACTGTGTTTTCCAGGTCCCCGTTGTAGGCGCCCGCATTTCTAACCTGTTCCTCTCCGGGAAAGGCAAGTCCTGGGTGAGGCTGTGAGGAGGCAGGGGCGCCAGCGGGACCGAGGACGCGCGGGTCTTTCGCCTCACGGGGGCAGCGAGACCCCGCGAGTGAAGACTGGGCAGGGTGCCCGGCACCGAGGCTAGCCGGGTGCTGGTGGGAACGTCGCCCGGCCGGACGCCGGGGCTACGGTTCGGCGGTGCAGCTCTTTCTTTTTTCCGTTCTCTGTGGTCGGCCTGGGTCACGCTTTTTTTTTATTTTTGGAAGCTTGGTCTGACCTAGCACAGGAAGAAAGTCATCAAGCGGTCGCGATCGTTTTCCATTACCTGAAAATAGGTAGCAGAAGAGGGTAGTTTGATTTCCTTTGAAGGGCTGATCTACTTTTTAGTCGCTGCTGCTGCTTTGAGTTCGGGATCTTGTGCGTTTTTACAAAGCGATTTCTGTGCTTGCCCCACCCTTGTGCTGAAGTCCTTTCCCCTTAATCCTTAGTCTGATCACACACGGTTCTTAATGGGGGTTTCTAAGCACTTTCTGGGTGGGGAATGGGGGAGCGTGGGGGGGGGGGTGGCGGGCGCCGCGAAGGAGGCCAGAAATGGGCAGCAATCATTTTTGTTAAAAATAATAAATCCCTCCCAGCCCCCAACCGAAGATGCTGCTTTCCACTGGAAGCAAATCTGCGCGAAAAGTTTTCAGCTATGGGATCCGCGTCCTGCACACCCGACTTGTTCAGTGAGGCCCTGGGACTTGCCCATCTTTATAAAAAACAATTTTCCTTTCACTTTTTCTCTCCACCCAAAAGGAGATGAGTGTGCGGATTGCAGGCAGTGCCGCTTCGGTCAGTGCGTGGTGGAGTTGCCCAGCGTACGTGAGTGAGACCTCTGTCCCCGCAGTGTCTAAGTCGGGGCTTTCGGCGGCAGGGCTCGAAACCTGTGCCTGACACTCAAGGGCTTTCGCCAGAACGCCCTGCTGGGCTGCACGACCTCTGCGTGGGGATGGAGTGGCTCCCCCCGAAAGACAGTAGTTCTCTGGGATGGGGTATATTTTAGCCCGGAGGTAGGGAGGGGTAAGTGTGCTCCAGAGTTTCAAGGCACGTCCCCTAGGGAGGCGCCGGCACCCCCCGCCCCCCTCAATCCCCCGCCTGCTTAGCAGTCTTGGGATTGTGTGCAAGGGGAGGGCAGTTTAGCCCCTGGGCTGCGTCAGTCTCCCCGGAGAAAAGTCCCCCGGGGCTCCGACTGTGTCCCACCTGCTGGGGACGGTGTTGGGACGCCGATAGAGCCGATAAACGGAGTGAAAGCAAAGATCAATGTTGTCTCGTCTGCCTTTCTGTTGGAAGTGAGATCCGGTTTCCAGCTCTGCCTTGTTCTGAATTGGGAGGCGTGTGTCACCTGCCTGTGTCTCTCTTGTATAAAACTCGGAGATTGGATAAAGGTCCACTTTTGCCCGTTTTTGTTCATTGTGGACTTGGCAAAGGAGATAATCGTTTTGAAATTTACAGAGGGATTGCAATTACTTGTCAGAATGATAGATTTGAGACGTGACACGAATTTTGGAAACACTTCCTGTTATCACTAGCCGGTTTTTGTTCTGAACTGTTAAGGTTTTGGAAAAGGGCAAAGCAATTAAGAGTTTTTACATAATTTATTTCTAAAACAGAGAGAACAATCTGTTAGCTACAGAATTTAAGGCGTTCTCCTCGTCTATCAGGCTGTAAAATATTTGATCCTCCAGTTGTTTAGAAGTTGAAATAAGGTCGTCTTCTCGTTGATGACTGTGTAAGTTTGCTTTCTTGTGTTCCTGGCGGCAAACAGGATTTGAATGGATTTGTTTTTAATTTATAACTTTTGCTACTGTATAGTTAATAATGCATGACTCTTGTAAAATTTATAACTTCCTTGGGGGGCGAGTATTTTCTTTTTTGCAAGTCACCTTCATTCTATGGTATTCTAAACAGTTCCCGAATACTGGATAGTCATAGTTAAAAGTATCTGATGTAAAAGCAAAGTAAGAACCCAGAAAGAATTTCTAGGCTGTATTTATTAATGTTTAAGGCAAAAGTGACCACGACAAACTTAAAAACCCATTTCCAATTCTGAAAAAGTATTCAACTTTCACATATGTCGGCGGGAATGTTCTGTTGTAACGTTATTTTCTTGCAGTCTTTACTTTGAACCTGAACCTTGCAGTTTTATGTCTATTTGAATAAGGAATCGTTGCCTATGTGACTGAAACAAAGATCAGCTTTGTGTTACTACACAACACAGGATTAGAGAATTGTCAGTGCCGGGCCATAACCTGCACTTTTTGATATGGCAGTGATCATACGGCTATTCTGATCCCTTCCATAGCCACTCCATCTCAAGCCCTCTTTCTCTAGGGGAGTGGAAAGCCAAGAGTTAATCCAGGTAGGCGGAGAGTGGGAAGTATCCTGGAGTGTAAACCAGCTCTTTCCTCTTGGTTTCCGCAGGAATTCAGATGTGTTCTAAGCCCGCTGGAGTGACCACACTTCCAAGACCTGATGGAGGCCAGAGCTCACAGTGGCAGCGGGTCGCAGTCCTTGCTGCAGGCGCCCCGTGACGGTGGCAGGCAGCGCGGGGAGCCCGACCCCCGAGATGCCCTCACCCAGCAGGTACACGTGCTGTCTCTGGATCAGATCAGAGCCATCCGAAACACCAATGAGTACACAGAGGGGCCTACTGTGGTCCCGAGACCTGGGCTCAAGCCTGCTCCTCGCCCCTCCACTCAGCACAAACACGAGAGGCTCCACGGTCTGCCCGAGCACCGCCAGCCCCCCAGGCTCCAGCACCCACAGGTCCATTCTTCCGCACGAGCCTCTCTGTCCAGGTCCATCAGCACAGTCAGTTCGGGGTCTCGGAGCAGTACGAGGACAAGTACCAGCAGCAGTTCCTCTGAACAGAGACTGTTGGGACCATCTTTCTCCTCGGGGCCCGTTGCTGATGGGATAATCCGCGTGCAGCCCAAATCGGAGCTCAAGCCAGGTGAGCTTAAGCCGCTGAGCAAGGAGGATTTGGGCTTGCACGCCTACAGGTGTGAGGACTGTGGCAAGTGCAAATGTAAGGAGTGCACCTATCCTAGGCCTCTGCCATCAGACTGGATCTGCGACAAGCAGTGCCTTTGCTCAGCCCAAAACGTGATTGACTATGGGACTTGTGTGTGCTGTGTGAAAGGTCTCTTCTATCACTGTTCTAATGATGACGAGGATAACTGTGCGGACAACCCGTGCTCCTGCAGCCAGTCTCACTGTTGTACACGCTGGTCTGCCATGGGCGTCATGTCCCTCTTTCTGCCTTGTTTATGGTGTTATCTTCCCGCCAAGGGTTGCCTTAAATTGTGCCAGGGGTGTTATGACCGGGTTAACCGGCCTGGATGCCGCTGTAAAAACTCAAACACGGTTTGTTGCAAAGTTCCCACGGTCCCACCCAGGAACTTTGAAAAACCAACATAGCACCATTAATCAGGAATATGACAGTAATAAGGATTGACTTTTTTCTTTTTTTTTTTTTTTTCTTAACGCATATGCAACCAACTAAACAGAATCTTGGCACTGTTAATAGAGGGTTGGGATAGCCTTCGATGTTTGCAGTGAACCGCTTTTTGTCCATGTGCTGTTTTAACTGATCCGCTTGTTAGGACTCAGCTAATGGAGCTCAAGGGATGGGATACAGAACTTGGGGACCCACGTGTTGCATAAGCTAAAACAACAGACACTCCCAGGCAAAGTTTTTTGTTTGTGAATAGTACTTGCAAAATTTGTAAATTAGCAGACGACTTTTTTTTTTCCATTGTTTTCTCCAGAGATAATGTGCTATATTTTTGTATATACAATAATATTTGCAACTGTGAAAAACATGTTGTGCCATGCTATGTGGCACAGTCACAAAATATTATACTAATATGTTGTACATTCGGAAGAATGTGAATCAATCAGTATGTTTTTAGATTGTATTTTGCCTTACAGAAAAGCCTTTATTGTAAGACTCTGATTTCCCTTTGGACTTCATGTATATTGTACAGTTACAGTAAAATTCAACCTTTATTTTCTAATTTTTTCAACATATTGTTTAGTGTAAAGAATATTTATTTGAAGTTTTATTATTTTATAAAAAAGAATATTTATTTTAAGAGGCATCTTACAAATTTTGCCCCTTTTATGAGGATGTGATAGTTGCTGCAAATGAGGGGTTACAGATGCATATGTTCAATATAAAATAGAAAATATATTAACGTTTGAAATTAAACTGGGCTGTTTTGTCTTATTTTACCTTTGCTTTGTTTTTGATTTTTGAAGTGAAAGAGACCACATTTTATGTTAAGACTGCCATTCCCATGAAATAGTTTCACTTATCTATAAACTGTTCAAAGAGGAGATTCACTGATTTTTTTTTTTTTTTTTCCCACAGATAATTCTAGTAATCAGAAGGGAAATAACCGAGCATTTGACTCACCTGTATTAATCTCGAGTGCTTGTTTTGGCCATATCATTGTTCCGTTCTTGCCTTTTACAGATTTGTTGGCTTCTCTTTGTTTTGCAGGGGTTTTTTTCCTTTAAATCTTAAACTTCATTCAGGAGACTTCCCTAAAAGACTAACAATTAGATTTTTTCTTTATATACAGAATTAAGTATTAAGAAGAGCCATGAGGCTAATTCAAGACCAGAAAAATGAGTTTAGTTCAACATTTATTGAATGTCCTCTGTGTCAGGCATGCAGTATACACAGATCAATGCTTGTAATTGAGGCAAAAATGTTTTCTTCACTTAGCTGATTATGGTTATATTTTTTCCAGTCTTTTGGTTTCAGACTCAAGTTTATCACCATGATACCAAAAACTTATGTTAGGAAAGACACGGAAATTATAACCTGTTTTGATTCAGGTATTGGATATCATGAAATTGCATCCAATCTAGGCCTCATAATTCAAGTCCAGGGAAGCCAGTTGAGAGGCCCTGTCTTATTTAATCAAATTATCCAGAAAATTGGTTAAATTTTCCTTTGGGAAAAAGATGCAACATGGCAAGAAGTCCCCGTGTTTGCATTTGTCTTTTGGGAGCAAATACACTGCAGGCTGCTACAGCCCATCTCGAGAAATACTAGGGTTTCTTACTTAAAATAAGTCACTTCATTAATTAGTCACTTTGTGGATGAGGAATTTTTTTTCTTCCAAAGCACAACCTCTTGCTGCCAAGAATCACCGGAAGTCTAGGAAATGATTTACCTGTCACTGTTTAATCTTGCTTCCTGTTTCTGGACCTCCTCCTAGTACAGTTGTCTTGTTTTGTTTTCTTAAAATCAGCTCTCAAGGAAATATACAGCCTCCTAAACCAAGACATTACTGTAAAGACCTTCAGAGTCCTCTAAACTTTCTCCAGAAAACACAAGGTTAAATTAATTTAGAAGTGATTTACTCTAAGCTTCAACTTTGGGATTCTGAGTGTTGCGATTCTAATACTCTTAGATTTAACCCTGATGGTCTAAGAGAGATTGCAATGTGGAAAAATTGGGCAGAGTTTCTTATTCTTTGTAAGGTTTTCAGGATTTATAACCCACAAAAACTTTGACTAATTAGTTTTATTCATCAAAAACTGAGATACCCACTGATAGGACATCTTCGGTATAGAAATGGAGTCATTTCTTTTTTAGCGTGCAAACAGCTTTCCAAGTGTTCTATACACACATTGCATCAAATGCAGTTGGGTGTTTACTGGAAAAGTAAATTAAGAACCCTCCCCCATTGTTGCCTAGGAATTTGCATTTTTAATCATTCCACTAGTCATCTACAGTTTGAAAAACTACTGACCCGAGGAATTGCTTTCTAATTTAGTGCTTTTTCTTTTAAATGGAGTAGATATAAAGCATAATCCACTAGCTTGAATGGCCACCTGAAGTTAGAAGAGACTTTGTAGGAGAACATACTAAGTCCTGATGAAAACCATTTAAAGATAAATAGGAAAATTGGATTCCTCAAGATGCTTCCAATGAAACTTAAATGTTTAGAATATATACCAGTATAAAATTTATTTTCAGAATGTGGAAAATTAAGTTTCTATCTAAGCAGATTGAAAACAGCTGGTCCTGTAATTTGAGCGAGTGAAAGTTTTCAAATGTTACAGGTCATCTTGAGATGGAGAAACAACCACCCCGGGTTCTTAATCTCTATAGAGTTTACGAAAAGTCCCATATAAATACAATGAATTTATAATCTAGTGGCCATTATTTTGATATTGTGATAGGTTAAAAGTATGATACAGCAAACCTGTCAGCCGACTGCTAACAGTTAGGGAGATCTTAGCTATGTTTTCTGGTTTCTTGCCTTTCAATTTTTTTTTTTTTTTTAAGCAACCTGTACATTCTCTATATTGAGATTAATTTAAGAATGACAACATGACTGTTGTTACTTTAAACATTCATTTATGTGTACTGAAACTTTAAGGCCCTGTCAAATATCTGCCCTGTTGGAGCATGCCCTGGGGACTGTCGGTGAAAGAAAGCCAAAACCAAGTGCGAGTGCTCTCAACCAAACTTTTTGCATAACTTCTTTCTCCGATACACTTTGTCTCCAGCATTATTTGCCTCCAGGATGTATCAGTTAAGACACTGATGATGCCAGAGAAATGAATTTGATCTTTGCACAGTGTTGTGAAGTAACTGGTGTGTAGCTGATGGGTTTGATGTAATTTATTAACTTGAGCATATAGGTCAAACTTCTCAAAGGTTTAATGGGTTTAGAGTTTCACTAGCATTTATATCCACAATTGGCCATTTGCCTCCCTCTCTTAGATGTGCCCAAGGACCCAGATGTAGATGCAAAATTTCAACTTTGAAAACTGGTTAAACTGTAGATCAAGAACAGTGTGTCATCTTGTGCAGAAAATTTCACACTATTTTAGTAAAGAATACTAAAAATAGGGGAGGGGCACCTGGGTGGCTCAGTCATTTGAGCATCTGACTCTTGATTTGGGCTCAGGTCATGATCTCAGAGTCCTGGGATCGAGCTCCCCTACCCTCTCAGGTACCATGCTGCGATGGAGCCCGCTTGAGATTCCTCCCTCTGCCCCTTTCCCCTGTTCACATACTCTCTCCCTAAAATAAAAATAGAAAATTTTTTTTAAAAAAAGAAAAAATATATGGCATTAACTTGTTACATCAATATTGTATCATGAACCAGCTACATCAGTATTGTATCAATATTGGTTTTCAATATTCATTAAGGTAAAAGCTATGTTAATTTCTATTCTAAGACAGTTGCCCTATTGTCTGTGACCTACCAGGGGTGGGTGGATCTCCACTGATTGAAAACCAGAGCAGAATTTAAAAAAATAAGGACTAACTGATGATCAGAGTGATTATACATCTGGAACATTTAATCATTGTTTGGTCATTCCTAAGAGGATAAGGTTGTCAGACTACATACATCTTGCACTCAGACTTTATTTGGGTGCCACACCATCATCCTCCGTACATCACGAGAAACAACTATGTGAGTGAGAGACAAAATGTGAACACCACTAATGAGAGTGCATCTCTGGTCAAATTAAACTTGAATTATTCACTTAGAATCAAAAAAGAAAACAGAGGAGATAGAAATACAGCAAAAAAAAAAAGATTAGCATTGAAGTTTATCCATGGCTAGAAAATGTTTCACATTTTTATCTAAAACTGCATTTTGATTGACCTAAAGAATTTTTAAAAGCCAGGCTTATTTGGCAACTTTTTAAAAATAAACTATTAAAGAAGATTCAAAAGAAGCTTTTTTTTTTTTTTCTTTTTCTCAAAACAATTACAATGTACAGGGAAGAATAAGTAATTTGGCTTAAGACAGGGACCCACTTGGAATGGAATTTGGGCACCAAAATAATTTGGCATTTCAGTTCATTTGGATGTCTACTCTTTACAAATCTCAGAGCTGGTTGATGCAATACAAAAGGACAATGTTAGCAACTTTAATGCAAGATAGGACTTTCATAGCAAAGACACAAGCAAGGTACTATGAGAGTACAGAAACTGGAAAAGCACAGATGCATTCTCCTTAGCGGTTCGGTCTCCAGGTCTTTGCAACGGTAATGGTTACAGCTACCGAAATAGCCAAAGGGTTTTCCTCCGAGAGATGCAACGGAACTACTATTACTCATTAAATAAAACTATGTTCTCCATGCTCATATCCTAAATCCTAAATGAAACATAAAGATATTTGATTAATTAAGCTGCTATATCCTGCTATGCTTATTCTTCATTTTAAGATTCATGATTCACTAAAACCTTTCCCTAAAAAAGGAAAAAAGGTAAAACATAATTTTTTAAGATTTACAACTAAGAAATGGTTGAAACAATTCATCAATTCTTGTTCTTCCAGTTTTTGCTGGAATTTACTGCTTGTCATTAGCTCATAATTTTACCTTGCTTCTGTAGCTAGAAAAAGATAAATACTTATTAAGAACAAATTGGGGATAATCAAGTAGAGGGTTAAAGAAGAGCATATGTGATAGTGTGAAGAGAAGTGGTTGAGCTTTGGATCAAAAAATACCTGAGACCTGGCTGCTCTGCTTCACGTGACCCCCAAACTGAGGTGACCATCTCTAGCACGTAAGGTAATACAACTCATGTATTTTGACGTGGTTTTGTGCTCCAAATGGCATCTGGTTTATTGACTTGCATCAAGAGGGCTTACAGGCAAGCAGGGAGGGCTCTGGTAAATACCATGTCTGTATCATCTTTCATCACTCCAAGTTTTTAATGGGCTCAGTGCACTCTTTGTAGCCCAAACTTGGTTTTCCTGCTCAAAAGTAGGCACAAGGTAGTCATAGTACCTTGCTGGTCATACCAAAAAACTGTTCCTGAGACTTGTTAGAAAGGCATCTTCATAAGTTCAGAACAGCATTCAAGGACCATATCTAATGGCCATTGTGAACATTATAAAGTTTGGTAACCAGGAGGCCTCGCACACATGAAGCAGTAGGACATACAGAGCCTTGGGATACATTTAGTGCCCACTAGGTTGGCAAGCTAATGGCTAGTATGTCCCAAGGGATGTCTGTGGGAACTTGTCACTGTGCTAGTAAGGAACTGTCCAGAGGCAGGAGCAATCATATTGTCAACATCTGCATCGGGTCTAGATGCCACCTGGATTCTGACCTTCCCAATTAGGATACAGCCTAATTGATTTAGTTCAAACATTCACTAGCACTCTACTTTTAAGCTTAAACTTTGGAAATGGATTCTTTTACAGACTATTGGTCTGACTG